CATACTTCACAGCAGTAGTCAAAGTACGGACGAACAATAGTGTTATATATCAAAATAAGTGTATCTTGGTCAACAAATGGTTTGATCCGACGAATAGCAGAGATTCCTGCTGTAACTTTTTTGCAAATATTTTCGGTATTACTTTTCCAAGATAAATGCTGGTCAATTGTTACTCCTAAACAAACCGTTTGTTTACATTGCGGACTTGACTTCCCCTTTAATGTTACCTTGGATTGTTGACAAGCTAGAAACATGTTTACGTATTTCTTTAGTTTTTTTTTAGAAGAAAACTGAGACTAATAGGTACAAAGCATGCATCAGCAAAAATATATAGTTTATACCTTTACTAAAAAGGAATAAACTATGCCTGCTATGTACCTAAGTATATTTCCATCAACAATAAGTATTGATTAGTGATACATATTAGTGTAAAAATTCAGAATACTTATGAGCTAATACCAGAATAAAGATTTCTCCATCTTTACATGAGAGAAATTCATCCCGCTTACCAGACTAGCTCGGCTTCCATATTCAGTAAACAGCCCCCCAGCCCCCCTATTGGCTGTTATTCAAGGAAGAACACATTATGTAACAAGGCACTACAAGGCATTATGTAACAAGGCAACAAGGCACTACTATTAATTAAAGCATTTAAACACAGCTAAAGGATGATATCTACTGTATTTCTTAACACGTTCTATTATTTTCAGCACTCACATGTCATTTGTCAGCCTCATAGACAATTATGGGTGACATTCCGTGACAAACACAAATTTCGGTCAGGTTTGCCTTTATGCACCAGTCAATGTAAACCCCCGCCCCCCACCCCCCAACCGGGGAGGGCGAAAGAGCGAAATTGTCCCTGCCCCCGGGGAAAGCGTATTAATCAATGTCCCCGTATGTCTCTCAACCCCGGGAAAATAGTTTTGTATATATTTCATAGATCAGCAATAGAAAATCAAATTCATTTATGTTATTGTATTTAAACTTTTCTTGTAAAGAAAACTAAAACAGCAACACAGGGTATATATGTTAACCACTGAATCCAAATCTTCCCCGCATCGTCTACCGAAAGAGAAAATGTTGTCCAAGTCCCCCATCATCGGGGACATATTTACCATCAAAACTGACCACTTTTCCCGCTAAATCCCCGCCCCCTCCCCGGTTGGGGGGAGTTGGGCGGGGATTTACATTGACTGGTGCATTATCAACAGGTGTTGCAGACACAACATATGGCAAGGGTCGATCTAAAGTGTTATATAGAAAAGATATGATCATATGGGACGTAGATAACGAATCGTTTTAAAATATAAAGAAATTAGTTGCATTTTATAATACTAACAAATATGTAGTATTTACCATCGCCTGGAGATTCCATTGATAATTGCAAAGGCTCGTCTTCGCCATAAATCAGAAGCAAGTACCGTGCAAAATCACTTGTGTCTTCGTTGAGAATACAATAGATTCTTCTCTGGTAATCCACATCTCATGTACGTCCTTCTTTAATTTTATACGCACAAATCCTATCTCGACATGATCGGTATTATTCTTTATACATAAACACCATCACTGCACTGTAGACTTCAAATTGTCGTTTATTGCAAATAAATATTACGAAATGCTTAACAGCAGGTCAAGCTACATATTCACAGCCCAGAATTTCAGGAGTAAATGAATAATTTATGATGAAAATGGTTCGGATATTCGCGAACTTAATAGTAAAATATCCAAATGGCCATCCCGCCACGGATAACTGATTAAGCATTGGGGAACGGGAAGGTCCATTGTTTCCAAATGAAACACGGAAATGGATCCGCAGCAGAAAGCCACAAGGATAGGAAACAGAAGGGTGGGAGGGTGGGCGTTTTTACAACACACAAGAGTAAACAACACCCTGACGCAGCCCCCTCCTTCTCGCCCCCCCCCGCCCCCTTTTCCGGTCCTAATTTCTTTATCTTGCACTTTCTCTGTCTTGGCGATCAGCACAGAAAGAGCAGTTACAACCTGTAAACTAGGGTTTTATGCATTGTACATCATTATTTATTCATAAAACAACGTTAATTACTCAAATTCCATTAGTTAATCAGCTTCCGCGGCGTGTTTGGCCAATTTGAATAGTAAAATATCCAAATGGCCATCCCGCCACGGATCACTGATTAAGCATTGGGGAAAAGGAAGGTCCATTGTTTCCAAATGAAGCACGGAAATGAATTCCTCCGCAGTTCAGTTACTACTCGCTCCCAACACTACATCTCCCCCATATACCCAAACCCCCATTCTCATGTACCCAAACCCCCATTCTCATATACCAAACCCCCATTCTCATATACCCAAACTCCCATTCTCATATACCCAAGCCGCCATTCTCATATACCAAACCCCCCTGCTCAAATACCCTACAACCCCGCCGATTCGCATGTGCCACACACACAAACCAAACTATAATCTATTAAGCAAACAAACCGGCAATGGACAGTATGAAAAAAAATGCAAGTGAAAAGCGATAGGTGGACTAGCATGGTCAAGCGACAATGAACGCAGAGAATAACCCGGAACTGATGCCACAGGTCTGGTCCCCGGGAGAAACTTCCACCCAATGACTCGCTTCTTAAGACGCTCAGAAGCTGCTAACGGAACAAAGTTTAGCGAGTGGCGAGAGAAAAGATGAACAGAGAAGTAAATCCCCAAAGCACCCCCCGGAAGGACCAGAAAAGGGCAACAGTCCCGGCACAACTGCTAGAGTCGAACACAAAGAGCTTTAGATAGCCCTGGGAAAGTTGATCCCAACTAGCCAAGAAAAGAAGAAAGAACCCAAGAAATGCGAACGAAAACCAGCTAACGAGCGCAAACACAAGATCAGTACTTTCATACACACTCGAAAAACATATATTGCCCAAGAATTGGGTGATTCACGTATGGCAAGGAAGGTATACTGTTCTGAATCGCCAAAACATTGGCCCTTGTCTGTCCAATCCAAATGCAGTAAGCGCGTGCGCTCGGTCTCAAGCAATCATGTATTGCGAGATGCACCTCTTGCATTTGCAATGTTCGTGCTCAACCCCAAGCAATCATGGATTGGGTCTATTGGGAGATGCATTTCTCTGCTTGCCCAAACATATGAGCAACTGACAACTAAACAAATTCCGTAACTGCGAGACGCCGCTCCCGCGCATGCACTAAACTCATTGACAAATGATTTCCAAATTCAAATTCAATGGCTGCCATGGTTGGTCCCAAGCAATCATGTATTGTAAAATGCAAGCCTCTCATTCGCGAAACCCTGAACCTGTTTTTTCCAATCCTAAGTCAGTAGCGACTCTTACTCGGTCACAAGCAATCATAAAATTGCGAGATGCCCTTCTCTTATACGGCAAACACATTGGGCACTTAATTTGCCTTAAATCCAAATTCGATAGCTACTCGTGCTCGGTCTCCAGCAATCATACAATTGCGAGATGCAATGCTCTTATACACCAAACACATTGACCACTATGACTTAAATCCAAATGCAGTAGCTAATCGTGCTCAGTCACTCAAGCAATATTGGATTGTGAGATGCAATTCTCGCATACGCGAAACACACGAGCCTTTCCTTTCAATCCCAAGTCAATAGCTACTCGTGCTCGGTCACAAGCAATCATACAATTGCGAGATGCCCTTCGTCCATACGCCAAACTCATTGGCCACTTTGCCCTAAAGCCAAATTCAGAAGCTACTCGTGCTCGGTAACAAGCAATCATACAACTGCGAAATGCACTTTTCGTATACGCCAAACACATTGTCATTGGCCACATTGCCTTAAATCCAAATGCACTGAGCTAATCATGCTGGGTTTCAAGCACACCTGCATTGGAAGATGCACATTGCTGATACGACAAACACATTGGTCACGGTACCTTAAAACCAAATTCAGTAACGAATCGTGCTCGGTTGCAAGTAATCATGCATTGCGAAATGCACCTCTCTCATACGCCAAACACATTGGCAACTTTGTTTAAAATCCAAATTCAGTAGCTACTCGTGCTCGGTCTCAAGCAATCATGCATTGCGAGATGCCCTTCTCTCATACGCCAAACCCATTGGCAACTTTGTTTAAAATCCAAATTCAGTAGCTACCCGTGCTCGGTCTCAAGCAATCTAGAATCGCGAGATGCCCTTCTCTCATACGCCAAACCCATTGGCAACTTTGTTTAAAATCCAAATTCAGTAGCTACCCGTGCTCGGTCTCAAGCAATCTAGCATTGCGAGATGCACTTCTCTCATACGCCAAACCCATTGGCAACTTTGTTTGAAAATCCAAACTTCAGTAGCTACTCGTGCTCGGTCTCAAGCAATCTGGCATTGCGAGATGCACTTCTCTCACACGCCAAACCCATTGGCAACTTTATTTAAAAAACCAAATTCAGTAGCTATACTCGTGCTCGGTCTCAAGCAATCAGGCATTGCGAGATGCACGTCTCTCATACGCCAAACACATTGGCAACTTTATTTAAAATCCAAATTCAGTAGCTACCCGTGCTCGGTCTCAAGCAATCTAGCATTGCGAGATGCACGTCTCATATACGCCAAACACATTGGCAATTTAAAATCCAAATTCAGTAGTTACTCGTGGTCGGTCTCAAGCAATCTGGCATTGCGAGATGCACTTCTCTCATACGCCAAACACATTGGCAACTTTGTTTAAAATCCAAATTCAGTAGCTACTCGTGCTCGGTCTCAAGCAATCTGGCATTGCGAGATGCACTTCCCTCATACGCCAAACCCATTGGCAACTTTGTTTAAAATCCAAATTCAGTAGCTACCCGTGCTCGGTCTCAAGCAATGTAGCATTGCGAGATGCACGTCTCTCATACGCCAAACCCATTGGCAACTTTGTTTAAAATCTAAATTCAGTAGCTACTCGTGTTACGTCTCAAACAATCTACCATTGCGAAATGCACGTCTCTCGTACGGCAAACACATTGACAACTTTGTTTAAACTGTGATCCAAGTCAGTATGTATACCCGTGCGCGGTCTCAAGCAACCATGCATTGCGAGATGCACCCCTCTCATACGCCATACCCCTCTCATACGCCGTTTTAAACAACCTTGTTTAAAATCCAAATTCAGTTGCGATATACCCGTGCTCGGTCTCAAGAAATTATGCACTTGCGAGATGCACTTCTCTTACACGCCAAACACATTGGCAACGTTGGTTAAAATCCAAATTAAGTAGCGACTCGGGCTCGGTCGCAAGCAATCATGCAATTGCGAGAGAAACTTCTCTCATACGCCAAACCCATTGGCAACTGCTAAATCCATAGTAGGATTTGTGCTCGGTCGCAAGCAAGCAATTATGTATTGCGAGATGCCCTTCGGTCATACGGCAAACACAGTGGTCCTCTTTCGCCCAAGCAAATGCAATAAACTACGGAAGCTCGGAATGAAGCAATCATGCAGTGCAATTCGCTCCCGTCCCATACCATACGAAAAACAATACCCAATAACCATTTTATTAAAGGCGAAAATAATCACTATAGCCTAGCTATTTTGCTTTTCAAAATTTAATCTTGCGAAATACACGACCCGCTCGCGTAGAACATTAACAAAATTAACAATGCTAAATAAAACCAGACGGCAATCATTCATGCGTCGCAATCTCAACTGAACTAAAATAACCGAAAGCGAACTTGACGGGAAATAACCCCGCACAAGGACGGAAATACACATCAAATGAAGATATAATGTATAACATACAACAGAACTGTAACTAAAACCACAAGTGTAAGCGATCGTTAAACACACACAGAAAAGAGGCGGCCGTATATCCGATCAGCCGCCCACGAGTGAACCATGCATGCATGCTTTATACAACGAAAAATAACTTCGCCACACCGATCATATACTGCTAACAAAGCGATATAACTACCCAAAGGGCAAAAATCTTAACTAGACCCGCAAAAAAACACGCTACAATACAGACAAATACCCGAATATGAATAAAAGAATCACGTCCAAGTCCAAGTTTGATGCCTGAAGCTGTTCATTTTCAATTGGATCATTCACCGGCGAAACTGGTTCATTCTGAGGCGGAGCGGAATCAAGATCAATCGGTTGGGCAACAGCACATGCATTAAGTCGCAAGTACCGCTTCTTGTAACGTGCAAGGAGGTCGAACAGGCGTGGAGCCATGCTGTAAAGTCCGTAAATTTCTTTATCTTGCACTTCTCTGTCTTGGCGATCAGCACAGAAAGAGCAGTTACAACCTGTAAACTAGGGTTTTACGCATTGTACATCATTATTTATTCATAAAACAACGTTAATTACTCAAATTCCATTAGTTAATCAGCTTCCGCGGCGTGTTTGGCCAATTTGAATAGTATCTGAAACAAAACCAAATCACATATTATTCAAAAGTTGTAAACACTGTTGCATATATACATTTAATAGGCCAATTTAAACTCGACTATGAAGAATATCAAAAACTAAAGGTCATGTTTCAGTTTATAAACCCAGACTTTAGTTTTATAAATATAAACATTAATACGAAGCCAATGATTCAATGAAGGCAAATTTTGCCCTAAATACTCGGTCAGAACCTCAGAGATGTATTCTAGCACACAATTAATCTTCTCTCACAGTTTAAAACAAACAGTAATACTAACCTTCGACAAATTGTGTATAAATCTTATCGAATTTAACCATTTTGCCACAGATTTTGCCAAAAATATTTCTTAGACGGACAAAGTAATATTATGGACACTCCTTGCGTGAAAATGTTAATTTGTCCCGAAGTTTGAATAAATTAATCCAAGATTGCATTATTTGCATAATAATGTACTTGTCATTGACCAATCAGAATACATAGAAGACCGGCCGGTGCCAGGGCCTTTTCCCGCCTTCCCAATGACAAAAAGGGAAAAGCCCTGGGAACGAGGTTGGACTACGAAAAAAACAGAAAAAGGGGGATTTAAGACACTTGGCCTACAGGCCAGTGTAATAAAGTTCAAAATGCTGTTGTAGTGTTGTTTACATTTGCTATTTTTAGTAATTTTGTCAACGAGTGTAAGCCAGTCAGAAGCCCCCGTTTCTATACGAGCGCTACTACCAAGAAAGCCTATAGTTCCGTGCATGCCCTCCTTTCTTCGCGCCGCCCGTAACCCAGGAGGGCCTGTTCGCAGGCTAGAAAAGTTCGTGTCACCAAACACATTTAGAAGATATGACAAGTGCATTATGCCACCTTTACCCCAATGTGGCGCCATCTTAGCCCTTTTACGAGTTACAGGAACAATCGCAATTGCGCAACCGTTACTGAATGTTTTATACAAGGATCCTATTAAAAATGTTTATCTAGTGATTATATACAAGAAAAGAAAGTATTTTCAAAAATACTTATGTATTAAAAATGTTACATGAAATGTATCTCACGAGTGAGCGAAGCTAACGAGTCCAAGATATTGGTAACACGAAAAGATAAAGTTTGTATCTTCAACCAACCATTTTTAACTATGTAACTGGGGGGGGGCAAAGCCCTAGCCCTCGTGGTGCCCTCCCCCTCGACCATTTTGCCCCCTCCCCCCGTGTCAAAGTCCCTTTTCTCTAAAATATAAGCAACATATTGTGAGAAAAATGGAATTTGGAAGGGAGGTTTGTTATTCTACAATATTGGACATAACTGATTGAGACTATTCCCCTATAGTGAGTATAGAAAATTCACATATTTTTATGATAAACTCCATGTTGAATCATGTTGCACTTCTTAAGCCCCTGCTACCCCAACTCAATGTTGAACTTCTGTCATGGTATATTACAAAAGTTGTTTCAGCGTTGTTTATAATATTGAACTGGGGGGAGGGGGAGACAAAGTTTGTTTTGTTAGTGTTCAATAACTTTGTCGTATTGGCTGGAATGGTCTCAAGGCAAGGGTTTTGTCCAAGATTGTCTGGTAACTGAAATTTGTTTTGTAAATCTTATGTCTTTTATCTTGTTTAATTATAATGAAAGATGCTATACAGTCCGATCTGCGCATGTGCACAAAGGCGCTCTCTTTTTATTATAAAAACAGTTTATTTAGGTTTTTATTTCATTTTATGTTCTTGCAAAGCTTGATTGTTGTGTCTTGATAATTTATTATACTCTAGAATCATGAAAATATAAATAGTTGTCGAATAAAATTCAATATTTTGGATGCCGAAATGTAAACAAAACCTTTGTTTACATACGGACTGTACCACATCTTTAACAATTTTATTGAGAATTCTACAAAGTTTTATATATATTTCAACTTTACCACATAAAAGAGTGGCGAGATCACCACAACAGTATAAAAAACAATTACTGTGAGGCCCTATTTTACAAATACTATATAAATATACAATACATTAACATAACTTAATTTACGAGAACAAGTACAACTATCAGGAACAACAAGAGGAAGGAGTAGCAAGACTACGAGCAGCGTTACATTTCAAGCAGATTGATTTCCAAGTCCGGGGATTTTCAGATTCATAGTTCATATTGATAGCAGTGATGTAATATCTGTAAAGTAAATATTTAAATGTGGACAAAAAAAGAGACTGCATGATGTTTAAGTTCATTAGGAAGAATGTTCCATATTCTTGTTGTTCTGTTGATGGAGGAGGTCTGGTAGGTTACAGTCTTGCATTTCTTAGTACGGAACAAGATAAGGTCTGGAATGCTTGCTGCTCTCGTTTTCCTTTCATTGCCAAGATTTCTTGCTGGTAGTACATCTTTGTTTGCATAGATCAAACCATTACTCATTTTGAAAAAATGTACCAAATCTAAATATTCGTGCCAGAATCTAATCGGTAGTAAATTGGAGGCTATCAAACTTTCTTTGTAGGGTACCATGCAAGTACTTAACTGAAGAGGCGGTCTATCCACCAGAGGCCGCGGAAGCACCTCGAAAGTGGGGGCACTGACCAGAAAGGGCACTTGAGTCAGCAAACATTGTAAATATGTTAAACTGAACATAAACACAACCACAATTTGTTTTTACATTTTTTTATCAATTAATGCAACTTCATTCAAAATTGCCAAAAAATCTAACTTTTCGGTCGTTTTTGATAACAAAGTGTTTAAGTCCAGTCCTTGTTTACATGCATAACAATAAGACAGGGCATTTGTAGACTTCTTAGCTTAAGGGGGCATTTATAATTCCTCTTTAATTGCTGGAAAAAAGGACACATTTTCTTCTTACACAAAAAGTGTGGGGGGGGGGGAGAAAGCCTGCCACCAATGCCCCCTCCCCCCTGGTTCCGCGGCCTCTGGGTCTACAGTATATTGTAACGCTGTATATCCAAAATCTAGTTTTCAGAAAACGCACGAAATGCAGTCCTTGAGGGTGGAAAAATACAAGATTTTTCTGGGGGAGAATGCCCCCTGGCCCCACTATTACATACGACACCACACCAAACTTTCTGTCACCAACAACCATCTGTCATCTCTCCACACTCATTATAGTATGTTCCTTTTGTTGACGCCCAACAACCGCCCCCCCCCCCTTCACGGACAAATTCTTAAAAAGCCCCTGTCTTCAGTGCCACCCCCGGTGCCAAAATTCAGTATTTCAATCACGAAAACGAGGCTGTATGGCCAAGACTGGACACTTTCCAGAAGCGTGTATTCTTAGAATGATTCTGAACTAATGAAATACCATTTCGAGTTGTCCTCATGTTTGTGATATCAACCACTTTGTGATATATTCACATGTTGGTGGATATTATAATACTGTAATGTAATTATTGTTACTCGTCTAAGTTGGAATTCCCGTCGTTGCGTTAATAAATGTCAAAAATACCATTCCAATAATAAGCCCATGGGCTTATATTCTGGGGAGAGAGGGGCTTATATTCGAGGGGAGGGGGGGGGGGGTGCTAAGCGTTAGTGAATACTGTGGACTTATACACAGGGAGGGGGCCGGGGGCTTTGCAGGCTAAATCGAGACCAAATCTTGACGAAATCTGTTGAAGACATTTATAAACTCATTTCATCTGAATTGTCTTGATAACTCAATGAGTTTTCATAATGAATTTTAAAGGCATTCAGTGATGTAACGAAATCAATGAACCACTTTACATATGCTGTAACTTAAAGTGAATAAAAAGTACTATCACTCAAGCTGAATGTAAGTTTGCTAGTTTCTTTCCTCTGGTTTTCTCTGTGCAGTAGATCTCTAGCCAACGAAATCAATTCGCACTGGGAAGGTCCTAGAAGAAATGTTATAAGCCATTAAAATTTACATATGTTTTTGACAAACTAAAAAGTCGTATGGTTATAGCTGTACTCCAATTTGTTCAGTCAGTACATGCATCCTTCGTGATCGCAACAAGGAAACGCGCATGCAATTTGGTTGCATGGCGCCGGCCTCTCATGTAAATTGTAAACATAGTATACGGTACGCTAAATTCGACTGCTATCTAGCTGTTTTGGAGTCATTCTTGTCGCATACTGGTATAAGACAAAATCAATTGTCCAAACAGATTATTTTCGTGAGCAGTCAGTCTCAACTGCCCCGTTGCAGGAAGGACGGAATATATATACAAGAGTACATATATAATCTTATATCTTTCAATATGTCAACAAGTTGTCAAGTTGTGTTGTAACAATCTTGTTGATATTATTAGACTTGTTGCAAGGTTGTTCCAACAAGGTTTCGGTTACGATTCTTGCATAACAATGCAAGCACCCAAACCAGCCGTCAACAACCGACAGCTTGTGAACAGATTTGTAACAACTTGTTTGCAGACCTGTAACAATTAACTTGAGAGTTTTTACGTGTGTAGTGCCAATGACCTCTTTCATGCAGTATCATCTTTGCTAAATCTCAATATTGTCGTTCATAATACGCGAAGGGAAACATCGTCTTATCTTCTATTTATTAGTCTGGTGGATCAACTGACTGCGTCTCTTGTATCCAGTAGTGTGAAAGTGCACGAGCCGTCAAATAGAGTTTCATACAAGATGTCAATATTTGTAAAAGAATGTTGTGTATTACCCAACGAATTATTACGTATTGGCAATGAATTTAATTCATTTTGAGAAGGTTTATGAATTATGTTATGGTAAAATTAACTACGATTTAAGTACGCGAAAGTATAATTAGCCGTAATTGTATCGATAGCCGCTGTCGTTTCGTGTTGCAGTCAACTAGTTACTAATATCAATATTGAATTGACGAAAAAATGGGTATAGGTTTCAGAAAATGATGATCAATTTCAGTAATGTTCACAGTCAGGATTATATAAATTTACCACCAGATACAACTCGTACAAGGCTTCTACGCTATTTTCTTACTCTGACAAATGCAAGTTGACCATCATCATGATAGCGCTTGGGGAAAGCGAAAATCCCCTTTTACGCAACTGACTATTTGGAATTTTAAATAATTTTACTTACCACCGATCGGTTTCGGGTAGCAAGGTGGACAGCTGGGTCCATATAAACGTAATACAGTACTGCCTCGGGTAGAACGCATATTAGCTGGTTTAAAGTTGGTTAATTTTCCAAGAAATGCTATACAAGCTAGCTTTCATATTTATAATTTGCATTGCGTATCAGATTTGTCTTGTATCAAATTACAAGATCGAGTGGTCATGTGACCCACATTTTTTCGTTTGAAAATCAGCGTTGATCATGCATGGAGATAAATTCAGAGTTATAGACTCTAGTCGTGTCACTTGAACTCGAGTCGCAATTTTTATGACTTGTGACTTCTTAATCAGATTAACATGAACTTGTCACTTGACTTAGACTCGAACGAAACGATTTGTGACTTGAGTGAATGAACTTTATTTAAGCACGGAGGGCCAGGCTTGTCATATATATATATATATATATATATATATATATATATATATATATATATATATATATATATATATATATATATATAATTTCGCTTACCTCAAAATTCCGCAACAGTCTGTTTCATCAGTAAAGAATCATCAGGCGAAACAGACTGTTGCGGAATTTTGACGAATGCAACAGACTGTTGCGGAATTTTGAGGTAAGCGAAATTCTAAATTTGCTCTATCTTTATGATATTGAGCACTCTTTGCGTTTCGTATTCATAAACCTACTCGTATATATATATATATATATATATATATATATATATATATATATATATATATATATATATATATATATATATATATATATATATATATATATATATATATATATATATATATATATATATATATGGTATATATTGAATTCCGTACAACTGCTCCATTATAATCGAAACCATTATATTATTTTCAAAAATTGGTGTTTGGTTTACTTTAGGGATGACAAAGTTGTAGTCATGACCTCGTGTATCATGACTGTGATTTAAGTTAGCTTGATTAAACGGCCGTGAAAGATAAGATGGGCCTAATTTATGGTTCTATTTTCATGTCACGCAGTCACGAAATATAAGTGGTTAGGAGGTTGGGGCTCTGGGTTAGGGATTGGGTTAGGGAGTAGTTTGTTAGTCGTGAGTCATGACCTCGTGTATCATGACTGTGATTTAAGTTAGCTTGATTAAACGGCCGTGAAAGATAAGATGGGCCTAATTTATGGTTTTATTTTCATGTCACGCAGTCACGAAATATAAGTGGTTTAATAGGAGGTTAGGGCTCTGGGTTAGGGATTGGGTCAGGGACTAGTTTATTTCGTGATTGCGTGACATAAAAAGATAACCCAATTTCTAGAATATTTTGAACATTACTAATTAGACAAGATTTTTGTTTCATTCGCCTATCTTGAATTGGACTCGCAAGAATGACTTGTTTCCAGCGCGGGTCAAACATAAAATCGTAAGTTCGTAAATCTGGTCCTTCACCGTCACGTGTGTATTGTATTTTTGCCAAATCCGCCAGTAGCAATTTCCAATTTACCCTGTTGTTCGAGTCACGGATAGTAACTTTCTCAAAACATTAATTGTTATTGGTTAGGGACCATTCATTATTTATGACCGGGGGTGGGCTGGCAAAATTCAATTAATAACTAAACAAAATGTCCTGACCCGCCCCCTTCATCACAAAAAATTCAATGACCCCCTTCACATGAATTCTTAAAAATAATAACCTAAATGTACAGTGCTGATAATAATAAAATAAATGTACAGTGCTGTATAGAAATGCGCTCTTTAAACTTGTTCGGTAAAAGGCATCAGCTCTTTCATTTACTTGTGCTCTCAACAATTAGTATGCATGCCTATTTAACCCATTAAGCTGCAGAGTTTCCTGTTGACGAGTAAAATCGTCTGGCGTTAAACAAGTAAAAAAATAAGTACTGGGGCGCAATGGGTTAACTAGAGACATTGTATGATTTTTTAATTTTTTAGGCTAAAGCTGGGGGTCATATACCATTTTTCGGTGACTAAAGGCGGTTTTCCAGTCCTCGCACGAAGCTCCTCGCAGCTCGCTGCGAGTGCTTGCATCTAATTAAACTGAACTGTTTAGCATTGTGATTGTATGAAAGTGCTCATGCATCACTCGCAGGAGCTTCGCAAGAGCTTCGCAAGGAGCTTCGTGCGAGGACTGGAAAACCGCCTTAAGAGTGTAGTTGCTTGAAGATGCTTGAGCCGAAAAAAGTTGCTCCAAACGCAAAAAGTTGCTCAAAAGTTGCCGAGCACAATTGGGACATGGCTAGCAGAGCTTCGAAGGCCAAAGGCCCGAGGAAATTTTTTAATTTAGAGTCTCTAAAATACCATTTCCTGGACTTTGGGGAAGATTTGACAAAGTTCTGATGGTCAGAAAACAGCATTTTAGTATGTCGAAATTTACAATTTAGTAGCACTAAATGGGCGAAGGCGTATTTAATTAACTATATCAATATTGGATAAGTTGCAGGAAAGTATGAGAAATATAATCTTCATTCTTTGCAGTTTGTCATGGGTAATGTAGCCACTTAAAATTAATCAATTGTCGGTATTTTAAAAGGTATATTATTTAAATGATTCTGCATGATTTTGGAAAAAGAATGATTAGCATGAATGAGAATGAAAAAGAATGATCTGCATGATTTTGGAAAAAGAATGATTAGCGGTTGCTACGGCCCTGCATGGGTTAGGAATAGGGTTAGGGTACTACGTCAATGAACTACAAAGACCGCTAAACAGCTAGTGACTCGAACATTTGACTCAGGCTCGGATTTGACACGGCAAACCAACAAACTCCTTACTAAATAAAACCATGTATAAAATACCTAGTATAAACTATGATATACCAAACTTTCCCTGGACGTAATGTTCCTACATCACTTACTTGTTAATTATCTTTTTTAATAAAATGTACATAATTGGAATGTGAAAAAAAATTATGGCAAGTTCATGGCAAAAGTTATGAAGGTAGATGTTCGATTATTTTTCGTATTCGCTGCGCGCATTGCATTTTGGGTATTTGTGCATTGCATTTTGGGTCTATCTGTTGATTAAAATTCAGAATTTTGCTAGCTATATACATGAATTAGATTTGCTGCTTTGCTCGCTCCCTGTGGTAGTAATAATCGTTACATGTCAAATTTTTCTCCACTATAATAAATAACTTGACCCCCTCTTCTGAACTAATATTTTTAGGTGGCCCCCCTTTTTCAGTCAAAAATACCTCATGACCCACCCCCTTTTTTGCCAGCCCGCCCCCAGTCATAAATAATGAATGGTCCCTTAGTTGGGCAAAAATAGAATACGCACGTAACGGTGAAGGGTCAGATTTATGAATAAACGTTGATTAACATAGATAATGAGTAGAGTAACACGACAGCTTATTGTAGAATACTACCTACACTGGACCACCACGTTTGAGATATCTTTTTCAGGTAGTTCAGACACAAACCACGACAGCTTATTGTAGAATACTACCTACACTGGACCACCACGTTTGAGATATCTTTTTCAGGTAGTTCAGACACAAACCACGACAGCTTATTGTAGAATACTACCTACACTGGACCACCACGTTTGAGATATCTTTTTCAGGTAGTTCAGACACAAACCACGACAGCTTATTGTAAAATACTACCTACACTGGACCACCACGTTTGAGATATATTTTTCAGGTAGTTCACACACAAACCACGACAGCTTATTGTAAAATACTACCTACACTGGACCACCACGTTTGAGATATCTTTTTCAGGTAGTTCAGACACAAACCACGACAGCTTATTGTAGAATACTACCTACACTGGACCACCACGTTTGAGATATCTTTTTCAGGTAGTTCAGACACAAACCACGACAGCTTATTGAAGAATACGACCTACACTGGACCACCACGTTTGAGATATCTTTTTCAGGTAGTTCACACACAAACCACGACAGCTTATTGTAGAATACTACCTACACTGGACCACCACGTTTGAGATATCTTTTCAGGTAGTTCAGACACAAACCACGACAGCTTATTGTAGAATACTACCTACACTGGACCACCACGTTTGAGATATCTTTTTCAGGTAGTTCAGACACAAACCACGACAGCTTATTGTAGAATACTATCTACACTGGACTACCACGTTTGAGATATCTTTTCCAGGTAGTTCAGACACAAACCACGACAGCTTATTGTAGAATACTACCTACACTGGACCACCACGTTTGAGATATCTTTTTCAGGTAGTTCAGACACAAACCACGACAGTTTATTGTAGAATACTGCCTACACTGGACCACCACGTTTGAGATATCTTTTTCAGGTAGTTCAGACACAAACCACGACAGTTTATTGTAGAATACTGCCTACACTGGACCACCACGTTTGAGATATCTTTTTCAGGTAGTTCAGACACAAACCACGACAGTTTATTGTAGAATACTACCTACACTGAACCACCACGTTTGAGATAGAGTATCTTGCTGACAAGTTGTTAGAACAGCATTGCCACAACTTGTTAACAAGGTTGCTACAAGCCTGTTGAGGAAATATCTTGTTGACAAGTTGTTGGAACAGTATTGTCACAACTTGTTAAAAAGCTTGCTACAACCCTGTTGAGGAAATATTTTGTTGACAAGTTGTTGGAACAGCATTGTCACAACTTGTTAACAAGCTTGCTACAAGCCTGCTGAGGAAATATCTTGTTGACAAGTTGTTCGAACAGCATTGTCACAACTTGTTAACAAGGTTGCTACAAGCCTGTTGAGGAAATATCTTGTTGACAAGTTGTTGGAACAGTATTGTCACAACTTGTTAAAAAGCTTGCTACAACCCTGTTGAGGAAATATTTTGTTGACAAGTTGTTGGAACAGCATTGTCACAACTTGTTAACAAGCTTGCTACAAGCCTGCTGAGGAAATATCTTGTTGACAAGTTGTTCGAACAGCATTGTCACAACTTGTTAACAAGGTTGCTACAAGCCTGTTGAGGAAATATCTTGTTGACAAGTTGTTGGAACAGTATTGTCACAACTTGTTAAAAAGCTTGCTACAAGCCTGTTGAGGAAATATTTTGTTGACAAGTTGTTGGAACAGCATTGTCGCAACTTGTTAACAAGCTTGCTACAAGCCTGCTGAGGAAATATCTTGTTGACAACTTGTTGGAACAGCATTGTCACAACTTGTTAACAAGCTTGCTACAAACCTGTTGAGAAAATACCTTGTTGACAAGTTGTTGGAACAGCATTGTCACAACTTGTTAACAAGCTTGCTACAAGCCTGCTGAGGAAATATCTTGTTGACAAGTTGTTCGAACAGCATTGTCACAACTTGTTAACAAGCTTGCTACAAGCCTGTTGAGGAAATATCTTGCTGACAAGTTGTTGGAACAGCATTGGCACAACTTGTTAACAAGCTTGCTACAAGTCTGTCGAGGAGACATCTTGTTGACAAGTTGTTGGAACAGGATTGTCACAACTTGTTAACAAGCTTGCTACAAGTCTGTTGAGGAAATATCTTGTTGACAAGTTGTTGGAACAGCATTGTCACAACTTGTTAACAAGCTTGCTACAAGCCTGTTGAGGAAATACAGTATCTTTTTCAGATAGTTCGGACACAAACCACGACAGCTTATTGTAGAATATATCCTAAAATTCTTCTTAAATTACATTTCTCCGTACAGGTGACATTATGGGCTCCTCCATCAGCGGTATAGAAAAGTTACTCAAAATGCCGTACGGATGTGGTGAACAAAATATGATAAACTTCGCTCCGAGCATGTTCATACGAGCCTATCTGGAGAGTGTCGGTCAGCTTACATCAAGTATCAGAGAAAAGTCGATAAAATTCATGACGTCAGGTAAGTCTGATAGCAACTTCGTACCTACAGTTGAAATTCACAAACGATTTGTAAACAAAGCCTCCGATTGGACTATAAGAAAGAGGGAAGCACCAATCCAGCTGCTCAGACTATTTGATTGGTTTCCCTCTTTCTTATAATCTAATTAGGGCTTTGTTTACAAATTATTTTTTGAATTTCAACAGTGTAATTTGTTCGCGTCGGTTGCAAATTGCTCAGAGCAATCTTCCTATCAAAATTGCAATATTGTGAGACAATATTGCAATGTTTGCTTGCAGAGAACATCCAGTTTGACTGTAATTTGTGCACGGCCAAGTTGAGCTCATTGTATTTTCGTATAATGAAGTAATCGTCCAATAGGGATAGCTGAGATGAAACGTGCAACCACGATGAATAATATCTAATGAAGTTGAGACAGTTCTCGCATTCTCAAAATTGCATTACTTTTCATAAGATACAGAAAACGTTTGGGAAGAAATATTCATGCTACTATGGTAATGAGAAAAGATAACGGATTTCCGCATACTTATAGCCACGGCGATTTATGGCTATAACGGACAGCGGATTTCGCCATGCGTTATACAGCCACGGCGGTTTGTGCCTATAAAAGATACTGGATTTCGGCATACTTACATATAGCCAAGGCGGTTTGTGGCTATAAAGGATACTGGATTACGGTAACCCTTATAGCCACTGAAGAGATCATTTCGCTGGCCTCAGAGTGACAAAACATAACAAAGCAATGGCTGTACTAACACTAACTCTACTCCATACTCTAACCCTAATCCTTACCCTAACCCTAACCTAACCCTACTCTAAATTTGTTTCTATAAACCAATCTTGAAGAAAAAAGTTTTGACGAAATGTCATTCTGAGGTCAGCGAAATAGTTGATGCCTATAGCCACTGCAGTTTGTGGCTAGAAAGGGTACCGGAATATTACATACTCGAACCGACCTAACCGCGTAGCTCAGTTGGCAGAGCATTGGGCTAGTATTCCAAAGGTCGTAGGTTCGATTCCCACCGTGGCCAGGCGTATTTTTCAAGCCTACCCAGTGTGGATATACACTCAGAGTAACATCACAAGCATCATATTCACCTGAGTACATTACACCAACACAGAAAAAATCAAGGATACCGGATTTCGTCATACGTATAGCCACGGTAGTCTGTGGGTATTTTAAAACTGTCTGTACCAGTGTGGGTAGTACCAATGTGAAAATGCTGTGCTGAGTGGTTATATTACTACCTTAAAAAATAAGCAGAAACTCGACGTTTCTGCTTATTTTTTAAGGTAGTAATATAACCACTCAGCACAGCATTTTTGGTGGGTATTTTACCATACTTTAGTGCCACAGCGGTTTGTGGCTATACAGTGGAAGATACAGGATTTCGCCATACCTTACACCCACGGCGGTTTGTGGCTATATTAAGGATTCCAGATTTCGGCATACCTTATAGCTACGGCGGTTTGTGGCTGTGAAAGATACTGGATTTCGGTATTCGCTATAGCTTCGGCCGTGTCCGGCTATAAAGGACACCGTGTTCGGGCATACTTATAGCCAGGGCGGTGGCTACAAAGGATACCGAGTTTTGGCATACATTTTAGCCGCGGCGGTTTGTGGTTATAATGGATGCCAGATTTCGAATTTTGGTATTCTCGTGAAGCACTTCCATTATGTACCAAAATCCTGTAATGCTCATGAGCAATGCTTATGAGCACAGAGCATGATTTTCGTGTATACATACAGGGTGTCCCAAAAAACCAAAACTATTGAAATAACGTATTGTTAGAATTTGAATGCCCTAGCACTAAGTTGAACGCAAAAATGCGTACAATATTGACAGGGTGCGTATATTAAATATTGACTTGTTAAGAAATTAAATTCT